TACTGGTCGTGCCGGTCCCCTGCGCACGACCTCGGCATATCCACCCTTTGATAAGAAAGAAAATCGTTTCTTTGCTTCTACGTATGGTATGTTTTCTTTGGCTTTCAGCGTCAGTATTTCTTTTTCTTGTTTCCAAAGAGGGCAGGAACGCGAGTATGAAGGGTGGTTACCTTCGCAGTTCGCACATTTTGGCTCATTGTCACAGTTGTCAGCAACATGTTCTTTGCTTGAGCACTTAGCACATGTGTCGGCCCCCCGACAGCTACGTGACCCATGGCCGAACCGCTGGCACTTGAAGCACCGTTGGGGGTTTGGCACGTAGGGTCGGACTCTGCACTGTAGGTAGCCTGCCTTTACAGTCGCAGGGAGAGTGGTGCTGTCAAAGGTTAGGATGATGTGCTTTGTTTTCCGTTCGCTGCCATCACGACGAATATTGATTCGTCGCGCAGCAACAACTCCTTGGCTAGAGAGCCCCTCCCCTAACTCTGCGTCTGATGTGTCTACCAGGTCGTCCTCGGAAATAACTCTTTGGACAGTGTTCAGTTTGCGGTGCGGAGAAACAGTGACTTTGTAGTCCGAAACCGAGTTGAGGGCCAGAAGGGCATCACTCTGCTGTTTTGTACTGATCTCTACAAGGAGGTCTCCGGATGCCATTTTCTTCGCATGAAAGTTCTGACCAACAACGCCTTCTAGTACCTTGGCTACAAGGAAGGGGGACAGTTTGCCCAGTGGCTTTTCACTTTCAGAATGTAAAACTAGAAATCTCGGAAACTTTTCGGAAACAAGAGACATTTCAAATTGAAACGGTACTTCGGTGCGGGTCCTTTTCAGGGCCCGATCAGGAGGTTTTTTAGTTTGAGAACCCATATAGATGGGAAGGAGTTTCAGTGCCCGGGTGCACCGCCCACCACGGAGCCCAACGAGGGTGTAGGTAATGTGCCATAACAAGAAAGGCTTGGCTGACACAATTACTCTACCAGTGCTGCCCGGGCACTATAACCGAGTGTGGATGCAGGGACAGGACCTGTTTCCACTCAAGGTTAGCCCTTGCCGCCTAAGAAGGTGAAAAAGGAAGGAAGAGGGTGCAGAAGAAAAGAGAAAGAGGTGGAAGGAAAAGTGAAAGAAGGAAGAACAGGGTAGAAGAGGCGACTGACTGAATCATCCTGGTCGGGCCAAGCCAGGACACCCGTCTACGAGAAGCAGGGGTCGAAGCGGTGTATTGCCTCGCCCGGGGGGCCCCGAAGGGTCCAAACATACCCCGGGCTCAGCTCAACCACCAGGGTCCCCTTTTCCCCGGACACGGGTACGCCACGCACAGCCAGACGTGGGTGGGCGAACCCACATGGCTCGGGGTTCGTAGTGACGCCACTCACCAAGCACCTACCAAAGTAGGTGCCCCCTGCGTGCGGGTATGGTGGCCCACGCGGCTGGGGTCCGTGGTGACGCTACTCACCTAGCACCTAAGGTGCAGGCGCCCCCTGCGGGGGTGCTTGTGGGCGGAGCTAAAAGATTGTTCTCAGGTTGCATCCGACTATAGTGCACGGCATTTATTTTTATGCTGGCATGCGTTTCATAAAATCCATTCTATGAGGTATGTGTTCAATCTTCGTTGTTTTGCCTGTGCGGAAGAATCGGCAACAATTTACTTTTTGATTATCTGGAAGGTGAATCTGCCTGAGCGTTAGTACTGGGGGCGCATTAGAATCGTGCAAACACGGTACATAATCCTTATTAGGTCATCTCTTACAGCTTGTGAGGGTAATTGGGTAATTTCTGATTGAAATTCTTTCCTTCTAGATTTATACAGGAATTTCCAAGAGCCCACCATACATGCTAAAGCTAATAGAAAACTTATAAAACAGCATTATTGCATACAAATAAATCACAGTTATGAAAACAAAATAAATGAAACGATAATTACCTTAAGTTGCAGCTAAATATTATCTTTTTATTGAGTTTAGGGCAAAAAGTAAAGCTTTAGGACGCAGTTCAGCTACTGCAGAAAACAATCATACCAAGTTCTTTGAAATCCATTCGAGAGAATGTCGTCAAAACAGTTGTAAAGCAAAGGCACTCAACAAAAAGGGCAAAGCCGAGAAAACCACTTACAAAGTTTCTCCTATTCTTTAAATCCAGCTGCTTGAGACTTTAAACTTTCTGTTTTTAGAATAGATAGAGATGGAATTGAGCAGTCATATTTTGCAGAGAGATACTCCTGGCTGCGAAGATTTCAAAATTGTGATCTTCGAAAAATCAACAATTTTGCAATTTTTACAGCGAAGCTATAACAGCTTCGCTGTAAAAATTGCAAAATCTGGAAAAAAAGTGTCCATGGATGTTAACAAAAAAACTCCCATTTAAACAGTGCTCCTTCATTCTGATTGGTTGTTGAAAGTATAAATAAAAAGAGGGGGCAACCCGCATGAGTCAGCCTTTCTTGGCATTATTAGATAGTGATTGTTATCATCTACGGTCACAGACTTATCTCAGCTAAGAGTACACAGCTGTGACAGGCTGAGGGCAGAACTGCATGGATATAATCTTCTTTTCTTTCACTTCCGCCATGGTGATAAAGAGACTTGGGCTCAATCAGAAAAAACTGTCCTCAAAGTGTGCCTCTAAAATTGTATTTAGAGCTTTAGACATAGCCACGGGATTCCCCAAGCTCCAGAGAACACGCGCATGACTCAAACCCTTGGAGAACGTCCCAGCACCGACGAGAGAAGGAGACGAGATGAGGAATGTGGTTCTCGGAGAAAGCGGCAGCCTCGAGGACAGTCCGGTGCAGGTTGCGTTCCCGGTCCGCACAAAGTAAAGCTGGAGTTTAGAATTTCTTCCCGTGAACCTCGAATGTGCCCTATTCACGGACAATTCCGATTCAGGGCCTTTCGGTTTTCCTCTATTTTAACCAAACTGGCTCGGAAATTAATTTTCAGGTACTCGACGGCAGAACGCGGAACCTTATTGATAACCTATGTGTCGATTTGATCCCCAATGAGTGATTTGCTCCCACCCTGAACGTGCAACCGTTAGGTGTAGATTGTGGTGCCACCATCCGAGTTAGTTTGTTTTCCGAAAGTCAACCGCAGCGGCTAAGACACCGTCGATGAGAATGGGAAAATGAGCCGGTTTTAAAAAAACTTTCAGCCTTTCCACTCTGGTGAAGAAGAAAAACCGGCGAAGCTCTACTATGGTGGGGCGACCTCAAGGACAACTTCTAGGACAACCTCGAGGACAATGCATAGGACGACCTCGGGTACGACGTCTAGGGTGACCTCAAGGACGCACAGGATGACTGCAGGGAAGACGTCTAGGACGACCTCCAGGACGTCTCGGACGACCTCAGAACGACTTCTAGGACGACCTCCAAGACATCTCGGACGACCTCAAGGACGACTTCTAGGACGACCTCGAGGACATTGTCTAGGACGACCATAAAGACGACTTTTAGGATGACCTCAAGGACTACATCTAGGACGACCTCGAGGACTACATCTAGGATGACCTCAAGGATGACTTCTAAGATGACCTCTTGGACGACCTCGAGGACGACCTCAAGAACGACTTCAAGGACGACGTCTAGGATGATCTCAAGGACAACCTTTCGGACAATGCCTAGAGAAATTCATCCTTTCCACTCTGGTGAAAACCAGAGTGGAAAGGCCTGGAAAGGTTGCCGCCATCTATGACCGACAACAACAACCAGAAAACCGGCAAACTGGTTGTCTGGTTGCCACCGTCGCTCATAGATGGCGGTAGCTGTCCAGGGTTTTGTGTCGAGATTTATTTGTCCACAAACATGAAACTGGGAAAACTAGCCCTTAACAGCTCCACTGTAATATCGAGGTTAAAGCAGCTTCCGATGTCTCAGCCACTTCGGTGCAGATTGGCGAAACGAAGCGTGAACTTTGCACTAGCATTACCTCGTCACCGTCAATCTAGCTGTCCAGTCATTACAGACTGAACTTACCTTGAACTTAACTTACTTATTCAGTTTTGGCCGAATGGGTGTGACTTTCAATCACACCCATTCGTAAACAAGAGGCCAAAATATGCCAAAGAAGAGCTTTAATTTTGGCGGCCAAAATAAATGCGCATTATTGTCTGTCTCACCGCTTCTCTGACAGAACATAATTGCTGCCATCCCCCAAGAGAAAGAGTCCCCCAAGAGCAAAAGGAAACGACGCGACGCAAGCAAACGCAGCATCAAGCCGTGGCGACCAACGGAGCGAATCTGAACAAATCCAACGACGACGAGAACAAGAAAAGCTTACGTAACAATTTTTTTCTTTCCTCTCGACCGCTTGAGTAAATGTGCCCCGTCGGCTTGGAGTCACGCTTTTTCAATAGAGCACGTTTGTTGAAGGCACAACGCCTCCTAGATGAAGAGACCCAAGTGCTGGATTTTTCAGGTCGCTTTCCATAGGCCAGCGTGAGACACAGACTGGGCATAAGTTCCGCATCGGCATTTGGCCGACTGAAGCAGAGTTCCAGCGAACGCTGCCGCAGCACTCGTGTCCATTCCGTGCCCCGTGCTGACCTCCGCTGGGCAACAAGAAATTTAGCAACATGGCGTCGTGATCTATGAGGGGTCGAGAGAGAAAACAGATCTGCAGCTGATCCATCGATCCATCCCTCGTATGTGGAGTTGCGTTTTATGAGGAACACAGCTGATGCTCAGATTCAGTTTCAATCTTCCTGCAATGCGCCGCCAATGATCTTTCAAAGTGTCGCCTCACCCTTCTCTCCTGCCCAAGTTTTGTTTCCGAAAGCTTTTGGCAGCAGGCCAAATCTTCTCGCAGATTGGTCTTAACCCTGGCTTTTACCTTTTATTTTTTGTTGCCGTTTCCAAAAGCAGATGGCCATCTCCTATACCCTCTACTATGCTGTGCAATGCACGCATCACTGGTTCACAAAATCTGAGCTAGCTTCAATTAGAATGCGATCTTTCATCAAAAGACGAAGGAAGGTTGCATTCCCTCTCTACGAGAAACACCCACCTGGCGTCCTGCATGTTGAAGAGCAGGGAGGGCACAATCTTCTCCATGTGCGTCTCGTCCCAGATGTTCACCTGAAGGTCGTCGCTCACCGTCTTCCGCACCACGCCCTGCAGGCCGCGCAGACCCGCCAGCCGGAGCCTGCAAAGCGACGGCCAACGTGGAGGAACACGCAAAGGGGCCTGGCAACAGTTTTCGGACTTCCGCCTAATAATTGCAGGAATCAGTCCCTACACTTGGAGAATGAACAACAGAAAAACATTTATGCTTACATACGCTAGTTTCTATTCGAAAAAGATTTAGCCAAATGAAGTGTGCAGTACCCTTCAACTCTAGCACCGTCTCCTGGGTCACATGCGCAGTGACATGATCGTGGGTGACGGAGAGCCTCCAGATGCGTTCTCAAACATGCTCATGAACTCTAGTCATGTGGGAATAGTGAATTTTGAGTTTGAAGCGAATAGTGGTTGTGGCCGAATATTTACAAATTGAATATTGAAACGTTTCTCCAAGCTCTTAACTACCGTGCACCATGCACGGGAGTGCACGGTGCATGTAGTTAGCATGGTGCACAGTAGTAACTACACCATGCATGTAGTGCATGTTGTTTGCATGCTGCGCATCATGTTGTTTGCATGCTGCGGCATGTAAACAACAAAATTCTCACAGCTATCTTAATCGAGGGAATTTATAAATTTGCTCGCAGGATGCAAATATTCTTTCTTCAGTTTCAAATTTGACAAAAAACAAACAAGCACAAATGATGAGCGCGGGTTGCAAAGACAATGCTGCCTAACAGATACTTTGGCGTAATCGCAGCGGGTTACCCCTGTTGAGTGCAATACTCACCAAGCACCTTTGCACTGCAAAGAAACAATAGCCGCAGAGCCCGCAAGATCCACAGGTATTTCTTTCCCACAATGCACAGGTGCTCAGTGAAAGGCCCACTCAATGGGGCTAACTCGCAGCGATCAACACTCGACAAGTATGAATATTGCAGTTCATATTGAAGCAAATATTGATTAGTGTATTATACAAAAATTTGAATATTCGCACAACACTAATGAACTCCCATCGTTCTCTGGTGATCTGGATGTTTTCGCCCCAAATCAACGCACTTCTTAAGCTCCGGTTCTATCACATCGGAACACCACAACAAGTCGGCACTCCTGATGTCCGCAGTGGGTCTCGGACGAGCACCGAAAACATAAGGGCTGACGCGTGTTATTGCCAATTTGCCACAGAAGCAACGCAGAAGAGGCGGTTTTGTTGACTTTGGCTTACTGCATCACAAATGCACAACTTCCACATTTCCTACAGTGACCTCGTGACAATGTCAAGCCACGGTTTCCATGGCCGCCACATCTGGCTGCAAGTCGGGAAATAGTCAATTTAAAGCGGTAGCTTTATAGGGCCAACCAACCTCAGGAGCCACATAAGCACAAAAGTCTGTAAGTCGCTCAGTTTGTAACCGCTAAACGATCTTGAAAAAAACGGCAACCATGGATAGAACCCCAATCACCGGCGTGGAAACAGTGTGCGCTGCTGACAGCTACAAACCCAATACACAGGAATAGAAGGAGCAGAAGCAGGTGGTGTGAGAAAGTGCACAAAGCAGAGAGGGGTGGAAAGGGCAAGAAAGTGAGGAGCAGGAACAGGGGGTGTAGAAAGAGCGCACAGAACGAAAAGTGTAAAGGGCAGAAAAGCATGTTTCCCCTTTTTTTGTGACCCAGAAAATTCAGCCCGAAGGCTTTGTTCCCGGGTGGTGCTGAAGGGAAGCGAGCGCAGCTTCTCAAACAGACAATGGTGTGACATAATCTGTTGTCATGCCAAACTTTCCCCTAGGTGCCATCTGAACTGCCCTAGGCACCACATTTACCACATTTAAATGCGTTTGGCAGAATGACCAAACACGCAGCCCAATCATGTTTTACTTGTGCTGAGAAAAACTAAATAAAAGTAACACTGTAGAATCTTCCATCAAAAAGTAGTTCCACCGCTCCTTATACTTGTCCACACTGGCGCTAGGTGGCGCAAGTTGCCATCCGATTTGAAGGGCTCAGCAATATTTTAAAACAACGCAGACTAGACACGCACCTTCTACTTTTGGTCATCACTTTTTCGTGACCACCATCTGGAATTTTAAGTACAGATTTGATGAAGAGCTGACCTGTTCGAGTGAATTATCCCCAATTTGAGGGGGTGCTTGCTAGGCCTTTAACAGTAGTGAAAATCTGTTCTGCTTTGCTCTCAGCTCTTTGAGGACTCTCAATAATTGGTCAAGGCACCCATTTTTAAACCTGGTATTATAACTGAGACATGGCTCTCCAGTTATCAATGAGCAACCCAAACAATGCTAGACTAAATAATTAAATTTATCTTTAAATAAGTTGTTTAACATTAGCACTAATAGGGTTATAGTGGTCAGTATTGGCTGGCAGACAAACTTTTGCAGGCAGCACTAACCCAGACTTCGTTCAAGAAATGCTCTTAATGTCACAAAAGCAATTTTAACAAACCCCCATATGGGTCTGTGAGCTAACAAGAGCCCAAAGCACTCACTGCTTCCGAAGCTCAGCATCCGGGTTGTTGTCATGGCAAAGGGAGGAAAACTTGGACACAAAGAAGTCATAGCGCCGGTGGTAAGAAGGCGTGTCTTCCTCAATGTTGGCGAACTTGACAAACTGAAATGCACAAGCACATTTGTGTCAGTGCCCCCACCAGGCACAACTCCTCAGAGCCAATATGGAATTCAAAGAAGCCAGAACCACCCTATAGTGCACCCAACTAAGAATGTATATCTTGCCACATCACAACAGCCTTTTCAGTGCTGCAAGTTTTCCGTTTATCTGTGTTTCGTTGTGCAGCTTACCAAACCTGCGAGTACTTGGTAGGGTGCTTACGGTGGCCTTGCAGTAAGTAGCCTTTTTGGCAATGGTAGTGCTATCTCCCAATGGCAGTGTCAATCAAACTATTTTCACGTGCCAATACAAAAGAGAAAGGTGACCCCGAGTTGCTAACACGAACATCATGAAGTTAAAGTACAAATGTGTGATAGTGCGTAAGTCATGCACTGTACGCTCCACCAGCGAGTGAAACCTACTCTCTTCCAATTTTACATCTTCAAAATGTCCTCCTCCTTTGAAGAATGAATCCAAGAGTATTGTTACCTCATTTTATGCTATCAATGCAGTAGTCTTAAACCACTAACTGGCCCCGGTGCACTGCCACTGTCCAGATTCAGATGCCCGAGTACATGGCTTGCCACAGACAGTCCTAGTTCACTTTTGTAATGCAAATTCATTCCAATTCCAGACAACTTGGCCTGGCATCCACATAAGCAACGCTATGAACTCCTCTCCTTGTACATGCGTGAACGTTTGTGCATGCATCTCTAAAAGACTGTGTGTGCTGCCTGGGCACACGCACACAAAGTTGCGCATAATAATTTGATGGATTTTCTTCCTCCGATTGTCATCTCAACAGCTGTGCAAAGGAATGCCTCACTGAAAGTTCTGTTCCTTTTGTACAACGAAGTTTGACCCTCTTGAGGGGTCTCACTGTGCACCCTTTTGCAGGGGGACCACTGTACTCCGCACAAGTGTGAGCTCTTTGTTTGCTTTTCGAAACAGTAATCAGACTCTCCTGGTAATTGGAATAGATTCTAACGTGGGGAAATGGCAAGAAAGCTGAAAAAATTACGGTTCTTCTGTCTACTCCTACAAGATCGTCAGGGTTTTTACTACGCTTCCACACACCTGGGCTCTCGGGATGATGAGTTGGTAGGTTAGAAGACTTTGTTATCTCACCTCACTGGCATGGCAGCATTTCGATGGGGATATTGTAGTTACCTCTGGGTGTATACTAAACTCCTTTGAACTTCCTCCAATGGCATATGTATTTCCCTCACCACTGTACAATCAGCTTGTGTGGGCATTCATACTGCTATAAAAACAGGAAGACAGGTCTAGGTCTTTATTTCTAACTTTTTTTGGTGAGGAGTTGATGTTGCAATTTTAGTATGAAGCGTAGACCGCTAGTAGAACAAAATAAGAGTCACATTTCAGCTTGCTACATGTCCTTCCACCTGCAATGTTGCAATGCAATATAAAATTAAAACCTTTCCTTCAGGTTATAGTCTACCTCCCAACGTTGACTCTGGTACAGGGCTCTCAGCTCCATCTCAACAAAGGGATGCCCCCAAGCGCTGTTCAGGAAACGCAACAGAGCGGCAGCGCAGCTCATCGCCATCTGGATGACTTTTGAGCTGGACAGACCTCAAGGTGAAGCAAAGAGGCATCCATGTTTGTACCCGCAGTGGGCTTGGCACCCCAGCAGCTGGCATGGTGTCTGTGGCCCCTTGACCCTTTTGTGGATATTGTAACTGATCGCCAATTTACTCAAAACCATTCTGCTCTTCATTTCTTCAAGCGTTCGTGGTAACTATAGCGACTGTTGGTTCAGTCTAGTTAAAACAAGGACGGTTACATTCATTTACCATTTCAGTACAAACTTAAAATAGCCATGCTCAGACATTCCGTTGAATGCAACGAAGGCGTGATAGCACCGATCAGCAGTTCCTACTAGTGGTGCAAAACTATCGATAGTACTATCGATAGTATCGATAGTCGCCAGAAATCTGACTATCGATAGTGAAAAAAACTATCGATAGTACTATCGATAGTCGACTATCGAAAAACTATCGATAGTACTATCGATAGTCGACTATCAAAAAACTATGGATAGTCGACTATCGGAAAACTATCGAAAAACTATCGATAGTCGACTATCGGAAAACTATCGAAAAACTATCGATAGTCGACTATCGGAAAACTATCGAAAAACTATCGATAGTCGACTATCGGAAAACTATCGAAAAACTATCGATAGTCGACTATCGATAGTACTATCGATAGTCCACTACCGAAAAACTATCGATAGTACTATCGATTGTCGACTATCGAAAAACTATCGATAGTCGACTATCGGAAAACTCGTTAATCAAATATCAGAAAACTATCGATAGTCGACTATCGTAAACCTATTGATGGTACTGTCGACGATTTACTATCGATAGTTTTGAGACACTAGTAGTTTGCGTCGCTCCCTCTTCTCTTTTTATCGCTTTATTTATTATTATTTATTTTTTTCAAATGGGACACCAATTAGGCCAGGCACTTACCATCCCAACTTTCGTTCAGCTTTCAGTGACGACGAAGACGGGAGTTTGGGCGAGGAGAGAAGAAGGGGGAGGCGAGCGGTAGGACGAGGGTAAGGCGGGCCGGGGAGGACGAAGCAGACGGAACGCTGGAGAAGAGATGGGGAAACCTCTTTCTCTCTTTAGCGTTCCGTCTGCTTCCTCCTCCCCGGCCTGTCTTACCTTCGCCCTACCTTTTTGAGTTGTAACGGACTATAGTGGTGCAAAACTATCGATAGCAATATCGATAGTCGCCAGAGATCTGACTATCGATAATAAAAACTATCGATAGTCGACTATCGGAAAACTATCGTTAATCGACTATCGGAAAACTATCGATAGTCGACTATCGTAAACCTATCAATAGTACTGTCGACAGTTTACTATGGATAGTTTCGCGACACTAGTAGTTTGCGTCGCTCCCTCTTCTCTATTTATCGCTTTAGTTTTTTTCAAACGGGACACCAACTAGCCCAGGCACCTACCATCCCAACTTTGGTTCAGCTTTCAGTGATGACGAAGGTGCATGTTTGGGCGAAAAGAGGAGAAGGGGAGGCGAGCGGTAGGGCGAGGGTACGACGGGCCGGGGAGTAGGAAGCAGACGGAACGCTGGAGAAGAGATGGTGAAACCTCCTTCTCTCTTTAGCGTTCTGTCTGCTACCTCCTCCCCGGCCCGTGTTACCTTCGCCCTACCTTCTTGAGTAGTAACGAACTATAGTGGTGCAAGACTATCGATAGCACTATCGATAGTATCGTTAGCCGCCAGTATAGTAAAAACTATCAATAGTCGACTATCGGAAAAACTATCGATAGTACTATCGATAGTCGACTATCGAAAAACTATCGATAGTACTATCGATAGTCGACTATCGGAAAGCTATCGATAGTACTATCGATAGTCGACTATCGAAAAACTATCGATAGTACTATCGATAGTCGACTATCGAAAAACTATCGATAGTACTATCGATAGTCGACTATCGATAGTTCTGAGACACTATCGATAGTTTTGGAAAAACTATCGATAGTATCGATAGTCAATTTATCGATAGTTTTGCATCACTAGTTCCTACCCTAGTATGCAGCGGAGGGAAATTTTAGTGCACCTCTTACACCCCTCACTCCACGTGGCACTACACCATTGGTGATGCACACAATGACGTCGGGCCAACAGCTGCGCTCTATTGGCCTTGCTATGGTGCAACATGATCGAGCAAGGTCCCTGCACAGCTTCCTTATAGAGCCATCACTTTAAAAGTGATAAATAGACGAATGCTCAGGGGTTTACTTGTCAATTCAACGAAGGACATCAAGCATGCAACGGTGGAGGACTGCGGCTTAATCTGAACTAACCGGGGATCCTTTGACCTGCAACCCGAAACCTCGGTTCCCTTCTCCGTAACGATCGAAGGACGCCCACGCACCGACTGAGTGGCGAGCAGCTGCAGGTCGGCGTTGTGGCACTCGAGGAGCCGCTGCACCATCTTGAGGAAGCTCTCGACGAACAGGTTCAGGCTCTGGGCGTGGCAGGCGACCAGCAGCTGGTCCATGGCCTCCATCGAGATCTCCACGTAGCGGACCCGGTGGCGCGAGATGTCCCGCGACACCCGCACCGCCAGGTACTCCCCGATGCGGTCCAGTTTCTCGGGCGACGACAGCGCGTAGAAGGTTAGCTTCTCCATGTTGTTGCGTACCAGGCCGTCCTGCACGGTTAGCCGTGGCCCCCTTAGCCCACGGGGCACCCCAAAGTAGGGTTCTGCGCTTCCGGTATATACCGGGGATGGCCAAACCACGGCTCACGAGCAGCATGCTTTGAGGATCCAAGTGCGGCTTGCGGCTTTCTGGTAAGCGTATACCCCTCTCCCCACAATGTGTGAAGGAAGGAAGGAATACGAATTTTCAGCCCGCGTAAGTAAACTATGCGTCGCAAAAAGCCGAAACTCTGTCGGAGTAAGGCACTAGGGGTTGGGACAACATTAGAAATTTTAAGAACATGACGTAATCTGGATCAAAAGATAAGAGAGAAAGATGAAATTTCTCTACGAACCGACATCCACCTAAGCCTAATTTTGTCAAAAAAAGAAATGACATTGCGGGCACCCATGATTTATTTAGAGTGAAACAAACTTCTCTACAATTTTAGTCAATTCCTCCATGACATTTCCTTACTCTTTCTCTGTACTTAACTTTTTCTAGCTTCATTTTTCACAAAACCACCAGCATCACAGATTGATAAGGTCAAACAAAACTGACAAGCATTCAAACGGTCTAAACTCATTGCAGAAAAACAAGCACGCTTAACCTTGCAGCAGTTTCGCCTTGCTGCTGCCCGTAGGGAGGTAGGACACCCGGAATCCAGTTCAACAACAAAAATGTTTATTACCTGTTGGCTCCCCAGCACCGACTGGCCGCTGGGCAGAGTTGGCCCCACACATATAGTGGAGGGCGCGGTGCTTTCAGCGCCCCCACTCGGCTTAAGCGCGCGAGCGCCCCTACAACCTATAGTCTGCTTTCTTGCTCCGCTTTTCTGCTACTCTCATTCTCCTTTTTATCTATGGAGCACCGATGTCAACACTTACGGTTGGCGGCAATGTTGGCAACATACCGGGTGTCACAAAAGAAAATTTACACGGTCTTTTTTACCAGAAAAATAAACTAGGCATCGCCGAACGCCCATACTCCGCCCAAAGGTAGCGCTAGAGGTCACAACCAGATGCCAAAGTTTCAGCCCGAGCCGATAACTTAAACAAAAGTTACGATTGATTTTCTGAAAATTTCAATGGGGAAAAAGGCGACCAACGGAGTTTTCGAACACGTGGGCTCTATGCCACCAGAAACCAAAAACGGGCAAAAATGGGCTCCATTTTCCGATTGAAATTTTCAGAAAATCACTTATAACTTTTGATTAAGTTATCGATTGGGCTGAAACTTTGGCATCTGGTTGTGACCTCTAGCTCTACCTTTGGGCGGAGAATGAGCGTTCGGCGATACCTAGTTTATTTTTCCGGTAAAAAAGACAGTGTAAATTTTCTTTTGTGACACCCTGTACTTCACCGTTTTAGCGCAAACCATAAAAAGGTCTGACACTTGAGAGTTTACATGCCAGTCCAAGGAAGTGCATCCAGCCTGCAACGATGAAGTATACTGAGGTTTAATTGAAACCCCTTGGGAATTTTCTCACATGCGACCGCAGTAACCAAAAAGGGCCGAAGTCAAATTTAAAGTTAGCAATTGGCTACCTGACGTAATGCAAGCATGTATATTAAAGTCAGTAGCCAAAAGATGTGTTGGTTTTTTACTCAATATTTACACGTTCTACCAAAGAAAATGAAAAAGGAAAGGCTGTCAATTATCTATAATCAACATTCTGAACTCCTTTCAGCCCTGGTAATAAGTACAAGGCCTTTCTACTAGGCAGCACTCACAAGCGCCTAATGTTTCCTACAGTAAGTAGTGAGCTACACTTTTCACTGTCAAGGCAAGTTTTTTGTTTTGTTTTTGATTCAGAAGGAATACCTTCACATTCATTAATCAACTGGAACAGTGCAGATTTTGCCCCTTTCCCCAAAAGATAGATTAAGCTGAGCATAAAGCCTGGTTAGAGGCCAACCAGCGATATTGATTTTCTGCCAGGGAGATAATGGTGTATTCGCCCGACAGATTTTGATCTCCAGAGAACACCGAGTAGTATGTCACAGATCTGCGACGAGGAAAGACCACAAGGAAAAGGGCGTGGAAAAAGGTATGTAATATGACAAATTGAGGTGATCCCCCTTTTTGAAGGGTGTTTGCCGTGCTGAAAACCGTTTCAAACAACTTTATAGCGGAGGTTGCATTGGCAACATGTCAAATAATTATTGCCTGACAACTGCTTTCCACATGGAGATACATTCCTTGAACTCTGATACATTATACTTTACGTGAAACAACTGAGTGCCACGCAGTTCAGTGAGAGGAGTCTTTCTTTTGTGAGTGTGTTAGCCTTCCGGGGCTTGTCGGTCAAAAGGCAGAAAAAGAGAAAAAGAAAGGCACCCAAAAGCTCAATGCTGCTGACCTTAATCCTTCCCCAAAAGAACCGGTCACTCCCACGGAATGACGGATATTCTGGTGGCAAAGTTGCAGATTCTTAGCGACTCCTTGCTGGCTTGGGGGATTAGCGAACATTAGCGACGCGGTGCACACGACCTCAAAACTCGACGACATTCAATCCCCTCCTGGGAGAAAAGATCCATAGTGCAAATACACCATAATCACTTCATCTTTGCTTTCCCAAACCTGCAACAATTTGGAAGGAGGAAAAAAGGACAAAGAAAGGCTCTACACCTACCTTTCTCAGAGGAAAAGGGATCAAACTATTGGGAGATAATTTACGGGATGAGCAAGCAAGGAAACATAGAGGGCACGTATAGTATAGCAGTTCCAGATGAAAAAAAGTTGGTTTTCAGGGGCATGCCGACCCCTTTCAAGAAACGAAACCTTATAATCCCATCACTCAAAAGAGGTCACAGAGCACACACCGGCAGCAAAAGCCAAGTGCACTATTCCCCTCTTTACGGATAATGAAGGAGAGAATGCTCTACCGTTATTCTCAGCAAAAGGTTTTCCTTTTTTTTTAATATTTCTTGGCCCGACCTTTTAAGGAGCGGTTATTGTTCCACTTCCTAAAAGCCCACTAAATGGATAATCCCATTCTGAAGAGATAATCCCATGTCAGGTAAACTCTCAAAGAAGGCTTTCCTAAACTACCCCCAGTGCCAATGCCCAGAATTGTTCACTTTGGGACAAAGAGTGAGCCAGGGAAAAAGAAGCAATTTGTGCATCAATTTATTTTTCCCAGAAACTAGCTTTTGTATCAAAACCAAAGCTGCTGCTTAGATGTTTTATAAATGCAAACAATTCGCACTTACTGTAGTAAATGTGACCAATTTATAAAATCTTTTCGTGGTCCATTTAACTCCTTAACCCACCCCCAAAGGATAGCCCGACTCCTATTTCTGGCTTAATTCACTATATTTTTTTTAAACACAAAAAAGATAGCCCACTCCTAGTAATAGAAGTGCTGTGATCATTGATGGCCTCAGCATAAATGCGGCTAGTTAGCTTTAGCAGGATATAAGCAGGCATTGCTGACTGGCAAGTAGAGTCATCTTTTTAACAAGCTTGGATGGGACACGACCTAAAAATAGCAATTTTTTCAAACTTTTCTTGATTGTAGACCAAAAGTTCGACCACTTCAAATTTTCACCCGATTTGCTCTCAATGTTAGGTGGGCTAACTCTCGGGATTTTACGGTAATCATTCTGAAAGATTGGTGGACAATAAAATCTGACATTCGGCCTCACTCTATATAAATAATAGAAATAATGTCCTCTAATGAAACAAAAAGCAATCAAAACTATGAGCACAAAGTTTAAAAAAATTCTGTCCTTACCTATGACGACGCTGCATGAGCACTTTTTGCTCCATTAGGAATGCCGCATGCGTACTATTTACGAGGTGCTCTTCACAAACGTAACCGGTGAAAGGGTACAATAATTGCGCTAGTTCATATCACGAAGACAAGTTGAAAGGGCATAGACGGAAACGTTAAAAGGATATGGACACACAACCAACATTAATTGGCGTACGGCACATCGTGGCAGGCGCCGGGGGTAAGGTATACACTCGACTCTGTTGCAGCATGACCTGGCAAACACCAGCTGATATGGGCCCAGTGAGCATGAGAACCGACAAGAGCGAGGCACATGACAACGGATTGCAGGGGGAAAACTATGGTGCTATCACCCGCCTTTCTTAATTTGATGCTCATATTGGCTAACATGGAGCCATACTGCATAGCTTTAGGCACTTGCCAAATTAATGTGAGTGCCACATGTACCCTGCAGCTAGCTGCCAGTGTGGTCATGAGATCACTAATCAGAGTAATATTTCAACACTTCAATTATAAGCAATTGAGTGAGCTTCGCTCCTGACCACCATGCACAAATGGACACTGTTGCCTCCACTCAGATGTCAGATTAATGGAGAGCTAACAAGAAATATCATCTTGCCGGACTGGTCAGAGCGACCGGAGGTGAGTGGGTTGGTTTCAGGATTTTTAGTGCAAGTGCAGAGCGATCTGGGAGGTGAGGAATGTTTTTGATGCTGTTGAATAGCAAGATGGAAGTTCTGCTTCGTCAATGATTTGTTGTTTTCTTTTGTTTTCTACACGGACAATAGAAAATAAAGGAACGAATCCCTGGAAACTACAAACTACCGTAAAATACCGTGGAAGTGCCCACTTTGTGCCCACTATCAACATTTTCCAATCCTCCAAATTATATGTTAAAGGGATAGTGAACCGAAATATGGATTTCGCAAAATAAGGCCGCAGAAGCAATTAAACGGGATGCTACAAACTCCAAAAACTCACTCATATACATTAATATCTCAGACGGATGGCCATATTTTTGGGAAAAGAAAGGCGCGATCAAGCGAGGACTCTGACGTCACAATCCTCCTGGAAAAATTGAGAATGAGAGGAAGCGGCCTCAATTCTCTCCTCCTCGCTTCGATTCCCCATCTCCACGAGACGAAGTGAGAAAATGAGGGAATAAGAATCGTAACGTCACGTCTCGTTCGCCTCGCTCGTGTTCAGTCGCGCATTTCTTTTCCAAAAATACGGCCATCCGTTAGGGATATTGCTGTATGAGTGGTGTTTTTA